TGAGCAGCGTCAAAGGCTTTATTGCAGTCTGGAAATATATAGTCCAATGAGAACGCTTCTCTTTTGCCTGACTTCTATCTCCCCCCAAATTTTTTTTTTTATATTTTATGAGAAACACTAATCCCTTGTGGGTTTTTACCGATCAACTAAGGTGAAATCTTGTCTAGGAACGTTTTCAATACTGCCAAATTCTTCAACAGTGCATGAAATGCTCCTTTTTTCCATTCTAATAGTGCAGCGACTACTATAATTTGCTTCCAACTCCACAAATATACTGACTGCAGAACAACACAAGAGGAAGAATGAACACTTTATTAGGTAAAATCTCTCATGGAGACCAAGATTCTTAACGTATCATACACTTGAGAAAGGCTGCTCACAGTGTAAAACGGGGCCCTAAAAAAGTGTGTTTTTGTTTTGTATCTCGTCGGTTTGTTATGCCTCGTAAGCTTAATACATCTACTACTATTTCTTCCCAGTCTAGCAGTGTCTATTCTATTTCATGTAGCAGCTGAGGGAATTACTCTTACCAGCCCATTCCAGCAGATGGGCTACTTTCACCTCTCTCCCAACAGTGCAACAACTGCAATTGCTTCTCGCCGTTCTCTTAGCAATTCTTGCTCACGAATGTGTGTTCATTATGTTTGAATTTATAAAAGCTGATGAGTGGTGTATTATGCTTTTCACGAGAAATGGAAAAAAAAAATCCTCTTGCGATGAGCCATAAAATGGAGTTTGCGGTTACTAGACCAATGACTTCCACTGGCTTACTGATTCACTCCTTAAATGCATAACAACATTCAAATTTTTTAGGTATCCCCGAATGGAGACCTTCATGTGGTTGCCTATTTTTTGCCATTTTTCTATTTTCCTTCCTCCAACTATTTTAATTTTATTCCGCTTAAAACACGAAGCCTCATCTGATCCTTTTCAAACTCCCAGCTTCCTGGAATAGCTCCGATAACTTCCAAAACTGTGTTGCTTGGCTTCAAACGTTCCAAGAAAAAATGAGCCTCCTAATTCGAAGACGGGGAAGAAAGAAATTCGTGTAGGCTCACACCTGATAAATATTCGTGTAAAATATCATGATTGCTTTATTCTCATTAAATCACGTTAATATAATCGAATCCTTCTTCTGAATGACCTCAATCTTTTTATTGATGATGCCTATTATGGCGAGAATAGCGCCCAATATATTCACGAGTGAATTTGTCAGTGGTATAAATTGGAATCTGTGTAATAACAAGAAAATTCCTCTTCTAAATGGTGTGTTTTCCAGAAAGAATAGTTTACATTGTTTCTGAACTGCACAAGTCCCAGTTTGCCAGTTTTATTAAATAAGCATTGAATGGAAATCAGCATCGCTAACTAAAGATGTCTCTTTTTACCGGCTTAAAAATATTAACGCTAATGCATTACATAAGAAGAAAGACCCCTGTGACTTTAGTGCGTTTAGGTGAAAATTGGAAATCTTCATAAAAATTCAAAACAACTTGGAATTGTTGGATCCAGAGCGGTTACTGGAAAACGTTTTTTATGATAGGCTTCAAATTGTGTGGTGATGGGCTTCATTAGAAGAATACTCGGTTTTCACCTTTAAGCTGAGTAAACTTTAAATTTCAAGTTTTCTTAAATTAGTTACTGTGTAGTATGTAGGGAAAACTCTTCTGGCCAGCTTCAGACACTTAACTGCTGGTGTATCTTACACAAATAACCCGTACGTAGGAGAGAGGAGCTTACGACGACGTTTCTCTCCCACTTGGACTATTTACAAAGTCGGACCAAAACGACGTCGTCAGCTCCTCTCTCCTATGTGTGAGTTATTTGTGTATTGTTCCAGTCAAGGTATTGTACCTTTGTTATTTACTGGTGTATCTTAGTTGTTTTGAATTCGTGCTTTTTATGTGATAATTTTACATTTTTTATGTAAAATTTGACTTCATAAGCACTATTTTTTTGTCTTAGAGCACTGAGAAGGAAATAAGAAAACTTATCAGAGAGATCTTTTTATGAAAAGTTAATGTATAAGTGCATAGGTTTGCGATAAACGGAAAAAAGAAAAGCCTGTAGCTGAGCGATGGACATGCCCGTCAAGGAAAAGAAGCAGAGAGTTAGATTCCCACTCAACTTTGAGGTACCCTAATCAACCAGGCTATTAGTGCTGGCACATAGTACCTACTTGCATACTCACCCTTAAACGCTGGTAAATCTTACTTTGAGAAAATTTGTAATTAATTTTGTAATGTGTCAGTCTCAATTTGCGTTTTAGCATGGAAAATTTAGGGAAATTTGGAATATTAGTTTTCGTGGATTAATTTCTGAGTGCCTCATCCAATTACCTTTACCCTTTAGCGCCGATAACTTGATAATGCAAATTCTGAGCGGATTCAAACTTAACGTGCTGGTATATTTTAGGTTATTGGTCTTTCTGATAAGCGCATGGCTCTTTATTGTGGCTGCAAAACAGTTTCTTAATGGAAGGGTTGAATTAGGTTTGGACTGTATATGTCCTAATTTGTCAGTTTTATTGAAGGAACTGTGATATTAGTGTTCATATGAAAATTAGTGAATGTCTCTGATTCGCTTCTACCTCGTTAGAAATTTGTGCAGCACTGCCATATTCCCTTCATGAGCATTGACGAACGTTGGGCTGAGGTTATGTAATATACAGGGATACCTTTCTCGGTTCATGCAGCAACTGAGATGCATTTAATTTGAAACCATATTATATTGTACATAATCTTCTCATGTTATATTTCAGTTGTTGCGAGTGCCTCTCCAGTGCTTTCATTCCTTCTGTGTAATTATATCTTTTTTAACTCTGGAATTCACTCTGTTGTATGTCACTTATATTTTTTCTATTTTAATAATGTCGTTCACGATACAGACAACATAATGCAACCAAATATTAAATTTTTGACCTAGTGTATGTTATGCTTTTACTGGGTAATATAATCTCCATTCATATATTTAGAAGGAATCTGGAAACATGCCAACATTAAATTTAAATTCTTTGACTAATATTTTATGGTTCTATTATTTGTTTTGTATACATCTAGATCTTATTCTTTATCCCAGGATTATAAAGTCCGAACACGTATTCTCTCTTGCAATTCTGTAACAAGAAACTCAAACTGTACTCACCTAGTTGTACTCACCTAGTTGAGGTTGCGGGGGTCGAGTCCGAGCTCCTGGCCCCGCCTCTTCACTGATCGCTACTAGGTCACTCTCCCTGAGCCGTGAGCTTTATCATACCTCTGCTTAAAGCTATGTATGGATCCTGCTTCCACTACATCGCTTCCCAAACTTTTTCACTTACTGTCTACTCTGTGGCTGAAGAAATACTTCCTAACATCCCTGTGATTTATCTGTGTCTTCAGCTTCCAACTGTGTCCCCTTGTTACTGTGTCCAATCTCTGGAACATCCTGTCTTTGTCCACCTTGTTAATTCCTCTCAGTATTTTGTATGTCGTTATCATGTCCCCCCTATCTCTCCTGTCCTCCAGTGTCGTCAGGTTGATTTCCCTTAACCTCTCCTCGTAGGACATACCTCTTAGCTCTGGGACTAGTCTTGTTGCAAACCTTTGCATTTTCTCTAGTTTCTTTACGTGCTTGGCTAGGTGTGGATTCCAAACTGGTGCCGCATACTCCAATATGGGCCTAACATACACGGTGTACAGGGTCCTGAATGATTCCTTATTAAGATGTCGGAATGCTGTTCTGAGGTTTGCTAGGCGCCCATATGCTGCAGCAGTTATTTGGTTGATGTGCGCTTCAGGAGATGTGCCTGGTGTTATACTCACCCCAAGATCTTTTTCCTTGAGTGAGGTTTGTAGTCTCTGGCCCCCTAGACTGTACTCCGTCTGCGGTCTTCTTTGCCCTTCCCCAATCTTCATGACTTTGCACTTGGTGGGATTGAACTCCAGGAGCCAATTGCTGGACCAGGTCTGCAGCCTGTCCAGATCCCTTTGTAGTTCTGCCTGGTGTGCGTGTGTCCGTGCGTGCCTGTGTTTGTATATATGGAATTTACTAACTGAACGTGGTCCACTTTTTAGGTTTGTTTTGGTTGATTTTATGTCATTAATGTTTGTAATTTTTAAAGCAAAGAATGACTTTAGCCTCCACAGTCGTTTCATAGTTCCCTTCTCTTGTTACAATGCAATTTTTTTTCCCCTGGCATTTCAATGACTCTTCTGAGTTTAGTTTTCGTCAGTATCTCCTCATCCTCGGGTCTCCTGTAGTCTCCTCATCCTTGGGTCTCCTGTAGTCTCCTCATCCTCGGGTCTCCTGTAGTCTCCTCATCCTCGGGTCTCCTGTAGTTTCCTCATCCTTGGGTCTCCTGTAGTCTCCTCATCCTTGGATCTCCTGTAGTCTCCTCATCCTCGGGTCTCCTGTAGTCTCCTCATCCTTGGGTCTCCTGTAGTCTCCTCATCCTTGGATCTCCTGTAGTCTCCTCATCCTCGGGTCTCCTGTAGTCTCCTCATCCTTGGGTCTCCTGTAGTCTCCTCATCCTTGGATCTCCTGTAGTCTCCTCATCCTCGGGTCTCCTGTAGTATAACACATTTGTCTACTCTGTCGATGCTCAGTGAATATATTCTATCTTCAACTGCCTCCCGGCATACCCAATAGACCCCTGGCTGTCTTCAAGAAGGCGCTGGAGCACCTAAAATTAGTAACTGACCAGCCGGGCTGTGGTTCATACGTCGGGTTGATCAGTCCCTGATCCACCATGAGGCCTGGTCACAGACCGGCCCGCGGGGGCGTTGACCCACAAATCCCTCTCCAGGTATACTCAAGGTATCATATCTCCTTTGTTTTGCCAAAGGACTGAATTCTCTTATTACGTTTGAGCATATTCTCTATCTTTTATATCTTGCTTATTTATTTGCCTCATTGTGTTTGCTAGGGCGAGTTCTAGCTCCTGGGTCTCACCTTTACCTATCGATTAAATGTTTTTTTTTATAATTCTGTAATATAAATTAATTTCTCTCCTCTATCAGATGACTCGGCTGGTGTTGCTGCTGGCTCTGCCCGCACTCTCCCTAGCTTTTTACAGTTATGATGATATGGTGAGTACCACTTTGTTGATCCACAACCTACCCCCTAACCTTGCCCTAACGCCCTGCCCCCAGACCTTGCCTCCACCCCAAACATCCTACCTCATACCGTGTTCCCAAGCTCGCCCCCAAATCCTGCCACAACCTTTCTCAAGCCCTGAGTAATACTGAGACCTACACACCTCTGTGTGTATATAACCTCACGGTCGCATTTACTGACTCATTTATTTTTCTTATTAGTCGATAAATGTGTGTTATGTAAACGTAGGTAATTCTACCTACCCTTCCCAAGCTATATCAATCATGAAAAAAAGTTATTTGTAAATTCAGAAGGAACATTTAGAAATTGAAGTTGGGAATCACGTAAGATAAAATAAAATATATGAAAAGTGGGTAGACTGGATAATTACTTTGGGCATGTGATATGTAGATTTTGGAAGCTGTTTTGGTGCTGGAGAATCAGCGTGTGGAACACATCTTTCTAACCGTCTATAATTTATGGTGATTCCACACCCTAGATAAAATAAACTCGGGATCATTCTAACAACCGTCCGTAATTTATGGTGACTACAGACCATAGATAAAGTGAACCTCGGGATTTTACGATCACACATCCGGCTAGTTTTCTGTTAACTCATAAAAAATATAGTACTCACTTCTATGCATCATTGTATTAATTAGTGTCTATATTACAGTGGATTAAATTTGGTAAAATAAAGGTACCTAACGTAACCAAATTTAAAAAACCTATGTAGAAATATCGGCTAAAACAATTAGTGTAAACCAAAAGTTGGTGTTAAGGTATGTTCAAGTAATTTCTCTATTCCTTGTATATCTAAAGTCATTAAGGTTTCTCTTCTTAATAGTGCTTCGCTTTTCGTGCTATTTTTGACATTAATTAGGTTTCTCCGGAGGGGGACCTTCTTTTTTGACATTAATTAGGTTTGTCCGGAGATGGACCTTTAAATGACTGCCTAATTTTTTTTTACCTTGCTTCTTCCGCCAACTTTTCGATTTTTTTTTTTATGCTTAATAACTGAAGAACCATTCATCCTATCGGATTCAAATTTTGATCGCTTGTGTATGATAGAACCAGATCCTAGGAACAGATGGGACATGCAGGTATACTGTTACCAAAGTTATTGACTTTATTCCCAACATCCTGGAATGGCTCAGCAGACTTACAAAACCCTCAATGGCGTGGCTTTAAGCATTAAAAAATCTTTCTCCATAATTAGAAAACAGAGGAGAGTGAAATTCAAGTGCGTAGCCGTAGATTTAACTATTGTATGTGTGAAATTGTCAAAAATTTATATTCCCGTTTAATTATCACGATCAAAATGTGCCTACCTCTTCTGACTGACTTCAGTATTTAATAGCTGATGCATCTTACTGCCAGAATAATTCCCATTCAGTTTAATTTGT